AGAGGATGCGTGAAGACACCTCAGTGGATTTGCGTGCGCGAGCGCTAATGGGTGCTCGTGTGTGGGCGAGTGCCTCGGGTTATTGTCGGCGTGCTCTGCGCCTCTGACCCAAATCAATTAAGCGACGCTCGTGACGGGGACGCGAATATCTACAATGTAAAAATCCATTATCCCGTTCGCCCCAGGTGAGGTGATATCAAGGTGGCCTTGTCGCTCGATTAGCGCCCTTCTTGTGCGGCGGAGTGGCGTGTTACCGGCACTTGATGTCGGAACGACACATGAGGTTTGCGCGGAGCTTGGAGACCACGAGGCAGATGATCTTCACGAAGATGAAGAAGTTTACCTGGGGGGTCACGGGCAGAGGTCAACAACGTCAGTCACCTGGTCCCGCTCTGGGGCACAGGTGGGAGTACCCTCCCCTGGGGCTGAGCCCCTCCCCTCCCCTGGGGCTGAGCCCCTCCCCTTAGGCTGAGCCCCTCCCCTCCCCTGGGGCTGAGCCCCTCCCCTCCCCTGGAGTTGAGCCCCTCCCCTCCCCTGGAGTTGAGCCCCTCCCCTCCCCTGAGGTTGAGCCCCTCCCCTCCCCTGGGGCTGAGCCCCTCCCCTCACCGCGATGGCAGCGATGATGGGCAGGCGGATGATGAGCCAGTAGTTCATGTTGTAATTGCGGGTCCAGCACCTGGAAGGTGAACACAGGGTGATCAATAATCCCCAATAAACACAGGGTGATCAGCAATCCCCGATAAACACAGGGTGATCAATAATCCCCGATAAACACAGAGTGATCAATAATCCCCGATAAACACAGGGTGATCAGCAATCCCCGATAAACACAGGGTGATCAATAATCCCAGGTGAACGCGGGCTAATCAGCAATCCCAGGTGAAGGAATGCAGTGGCACGCTCGTGGCGTGCGTAAAAGCCACGGATGCTGGGAAATGATGGACCTGTGATGAAGGTACCAAGGGCTCCCATGGCGACCCGAAATCTTAATTAATTGCCGTTGGTGCGTGCTAATCGAGGCATTAGCAGGGGAAGGGTCGAGACGAGACAACGTCTCCCCCCCCCCCATACCCTGTCACCTGCCTCCCTCCTCTCCCACCCCAGGCATGGAGATGTGATTGCGTGTGCAGGTTAATTGTTTAATTGTGTGCCAGACACTCGCATCTCGCCAGGGGGCGGGTCCAATCACGGGGTGAGGGCAGTAGGGGAAAGGGGCAGCAGAGGGGGCAGCTGGAGGCAGAGAGGAACGGGGCGGGGGGGTGAGGGCAGCAGGGGGTGAGGGTGCAGTGGAGGGTGAGAGCAGTAGGGGGCATTAGGGGGCAGCACGTACCCCACGTTCTCGTTCAGTTGCTTCACCACCACCCATGGCACCACGAACAGCACGGGGGCTCCTGGGGGATGGGTGGAAGGGAGGGGGGAGGGGCGGGGGAAGAGGGGAGGGGCGAGTGGGGGAGGGGTGAGTGGTGTCACAGGTGGTCATTCTGTGACACGGAAAGGTCAAGTCGAGGTCACTGGCCATGATGCTGCCATGTCACGAGCAGTAGCGAGCATCACAAACATCAGTATCACATGAGCAGCATGTTTGCGCTTACACGGCGCTTGTTTCAACTCCTCAGCAACTGCAAGCGCCTCGCGTCTCGTCTCATCTCAGACAATTCAAAGGGCACCCCCAGTGGCAGCTGCCCCCCGCGCACCTCTGCGAAAAAAAGCAGCGACTGCGCTGCTGTATCACTTGATGATGGTGGCGATGGCGATGATGATGCTGATGACGATCTTAGTATTGGTAATGTTTCTGACGGTGTCATTATTTGTAACGGTGAGTGACGATGTTGCGTTTAATGTTTGATGAAGCGGGGACCCTGTCGGGTGCGAGCTTCTGCCGATGTCTATCCCCACATCGATCAGACGCGGCGTGCAGAGAAAGAGAGATAAAGAAATCGGATTAAGTCGCAGACACGACTGAGTAAAAGACATAATCCTCGGATCATGTGGCACTAATGCGATAATGCGCGGGTAAGCCTTCCAGTCAACTCACAATAACCCAGCCCCGCCCCTCCTCTGGGCTCCAGCCCCTCCCCTCATCTGGGTTCCAGCCCCTCCCCTCATTGGGCTCCAGCCCCTCCCCTCACCTGGGCTCCCTCCCCTCATCTGGGCTCCAGCCCCTCCCCTCATCTGGGCTCCCTCCCCTCACCTGGGCTCCAGCCCCTCCCCTCATCTGGGCTCCAGCCCCTCCCCTCACCTGGGCTCCAGCCCCTCCCCTCATCTGGGCTCCAGCCCCTCCCCTCACCTGGGCTCCAGCCCCTCCCCTCATTGGGCTTCAGCCCCTCCCCTCATCTGGGCTCCAGCCCCTCCCCTCATCTGGGCTCCAGCCCCTCCCCTCACCTGGGCTCCAGCCCCTCCCCTCATCTGGGCTCCAGCCCCTCCCCTCATTAGGCTCCAGCCCCTCCCCTCACCTGGGCTCCAGCCCCTCCCCTCATTGGGCTTCAGCCCCTCCCCTCATCTGGGCACCAGCCCCTCCCCTCATCTGGGCACCAGCCCCTCCCCTCACCTGGGCTCCAGCCCCTCCCCTCACCTGGGCTCCAGCCCCTCCCCTCATCTGGGCTCCAGCCCCTCCCCTCATCTGGGCTCCAGCCCCTCCCCTCACCTGGGCTCCAGCCCCTCCCCTCATCTGGGCACCAGCCCCTCCCCTCACCTGGGCACCAGCCCCTCCCCTCACCTGGGCTCCAGCCCCTCCCCTCATCTGGGCTCCAGCCCCTCCCCTCATCTGGGCTCCAGCCCCTCCCCTATCTCTCCTAGGAGCCCCCGTGCCATGCACGTAATTAAGATATGCGTCATTGTTTCACGCACGTTATTGTAATCTACATTACACAACACCGCAGTAATTGGGAATTAAATGACAATCTATATATATAAAATCGTTCATGTCTGTGTGTCTGTGTGTGTGTGGACTGCACTTTCATTGGACGGCGGTTGCCCCTGGCAACGGCTAGCCACGCCTTCGCCGCTTTCATTGGACGGCGGTTGCCCCTGGCAACGAGTAGCAACTTTTCTCCGCGGGGTGGACGCCATTTTTAATAGCGCGGCGGGGGGGGGGGGGGGACCGGCACCCGTACCCAGCGTTCGCCGGGTGGGAAAATCAGGCAAGGCGGGAGGCTCTGCACGGTGCTAGGCCTCGACACCCAACACGCCACTCTGAGGTAAATTCATACAAATTTCACGTCCTCTACAGAGTGGCGAGGGAGGCAGAGTGGCGAGGGAGGCAGAGTGGCGAGGGAGGCAGAGTGGCGAGGGAGGCAGAGTGGCGAGGGAGGGACTCAGCCTCAAAACGAGTAACTGGTGTGGCGTATTAACATCGCCACTGGGGAGACAAAGGCGGCCGGGCGTGGTGGATACAAGTCCCGGGCAAAGCCGGGTCATGACTATGTGTGTATGTGTTTATGTGTATGTCTGTGTGTCTGTATGTATGTGTGTATGTATGTGTCTGTATGTGTTTGTGTGTATGTATGTGTGTGTCTGTATGTATGTGTGTGTGTATTGTGTTTGTGTGTATGTATGTGTGTGTTTGTATGTATGTGTATGTTTGTGTGTATGCATGTGTGTGTATGTGTTTGTGTGTATGTGCGGTTATGTATGTGTGTGTATGTGTGTGTCTGCAGCAAGCGCGTGTATGTGTACCTATGGACGCGCGCGCGTGTGTTGTGTAGGGGGAACGGTAGTGTAGTGCTTAGCGTACTGCCTGTGTCTATGTGTGTGTGTGTGTGTCTGTGTGTGTGTCTGTGTGTGTGTGTCTGTGTGTGTGTGTCTGTGTGTGTGTGTCTGTGTGTGTGTGTCTGTGTGTGTGTGTCTGTGTGTGTGCGTGTGTGGTGTGTAGGAGGAACGGTAGTGTAGTGCTTAGCGTGCTGCCTGTGTGTGTCTGTGTGTGTGTGTGTCTGTGTGTGTGTGTCTGTGTGTGTGTCTGTGTGTGTGTCTGTGTGTGTGCGTGTGTGGTGTGTGGGGAGCGGTAGTGTAGTGGTTAGCGTGCTGTCTGTGTGTCTGTGTGTGTGTGTCTGTCTGTGTGTGTGTTCTGTGTGTGTGTCTGCGTGTGTGGTGTGTGTGTGCGTCTGTGTGTGTGAGGAGCGGTGGGTGTAGTGGTTAACGCTACGCTGCGCTACCAACCCGGCGAACCGAGTTAGATTCCCGCTCATGGCCACCACCGATCAAGATTATTTGAACCTCACATAGGTCGACTCAGCCTCAAACGAGTAACTGGTGTGGCGTATTAACATCGCCACTGGGGAGACAAAGGCGGCCGGCCGTGGTGGATACAAGTCCCGGGCGAAGCCGGGTAGTACAGCTAGTAGTCCTGTAATTTTGTAATTCGAATGCACAGAGTGATCTGTCGACAGAATTCCCAACTCAAAAAATGCGGAGAAATTTACGGGGGAAACAACTTTATTTAGAAGCCTTGACACCTCTCCCACCAACCTGGCGGGGATTCCAAGGATGTTTTAGAATGGATAGAATGTGATTGGTGTGGATTATCAATGTTCTAGAGGGGGTAGAGAGTGAGTGACGTGGATTATCAATGTTCTAGAGGGGGTATAGAGTGAGTGATGTGGATTATCAATGTTCTAGAGAGGGTATAGAGTGAGTGACGTGGATTATCAATGTTCTAGAGAGGGTAGAGAGTGAGTGACGTGGATTATCAATGTTCTAGAGGGGGTATAGAGTGAGTGATGTGGATTATCAATGTTCTAGAGAGGGTATAGAGTGAGTGACGTGGATTATCAATGTTCTAGAGAGGGTAGAGAGTGAGTGACGTGGATTATCAATGTTCTAGAGGGGGTATAGAGTGAGTGATGTGGATTATCAATGTTCTAGAGGGGGTATAGAGTGAGTGACGTGGATTATCAATGTTCTAGAGGAGCTGGAGAGTGAGTGACGTGGATTATCAATGTTCTAGAGGGGGTAGAGAGTGAGTGACGTGGATTATCAATGTTCTAGAGGGGGTATAGAGTGAGTGATGTGGATTATCAATGTTCTAGAGGGGGTAGAGAGTGAGTGACGTGGATTATCAATGTTCTAGAGGGGGTAGAGAGTGAGTGACGTGGATTATCAATGTTCTAGAGGGGGTATAGAGTGAGTGATGTGGATTATCAATGTTCTAGAGGGGGTAGAGAGTGAGTGACGTGGATTATCAATGTTCTAGAGGGGGTATAGAGTGAGTGATGTGGATTATCAATGTTCTAGAGGGGGTAGAGAGTGAGTGACGTGGATTATCAATGTTCTAGAGGGGGTATAGAGTGAGTGACGTGGATTATCAATGTTCTAGAGGGGGTATAGAGTGAGTGATGTGGATTATCAATGTTCTAGAGGGGGTATAGAGTGAGTGATGTGGATTATCAATGTTCTAGAGGAGGTAGAGAGTGAGTGACGTGGATTATCAATGTTCTAGAGGGGGTATAGAGTGAGTGATGTGGATTATCAATGTTCTAGAGGAGGTAGAGAGTGAGTGACGTGGATTATCAATGTTCTAGAGGGGGTAGAGAGTGAATGATTTAAAGTATGATGACGCTATTCCTTGCCTCTACACGCATCCAACCAATCCAAATGACACTAATTACATCTCTCACAAAGACACGGAGCCGCCCCCTTTAACGATGTCCTATCAGCTTGCTGTGAATAAGCTAAGTGAGGCATTATCTAAACACACACACACACACCGTGTAACCAGCATTGGCAAAACATCACAACGCTGACAAATTATCCGCAAATCACTCAATTGGGATGGCCCACAGTAGCAACATCGTCCCCTCCCACGAAAAACTTGGCAGGACCCTCCTGAAAACCCGTTGAGGCTCAGCGAGGCATTCCCGGGTAAACGCGCGAAATACACACAGCGATTACAAAAGGGCTGCACTGAGAAGACATCAGCGGGGTATCTATACACGGCTCAAACTTGAGTTTAAGCTTTCGTGACTGTAGGAATTACTCTTTGGTTCTTTCGGTAAAGTCACGTAGAAAGAAAATTAATTCAATAATAGATTACGACGTTTAGATTGCAACACAAGCAACCGTCATCAGGTAGAATTAAATTTGAGAGACAAAACACAAACACGAAGACACACAGACACATAAGCTGAGAGAGACAACACCCCCCCCACCGCCCAGAGCTGTGACCTCTCACCCCAGCCGATGGCGACGTAGGCCTTGAAGGAGCGGCGCTCGGAGAAGACGGCGAGCGCGAGCAGCGTGTGGAGGTAGACGCCCTCCACCAGAAGCCAGTAGTAGTTCGCGGCCACGCAATACTGCATGAGCACAAACACCGCCTTGCAGGCCGCAGACTCCTGGGCCACGGGGTCACGGGGAAGAGGGGTCACGGGGGATAGGTCACGGGGGTCACGGGGGGAGAGGTCACGGGATCGCGGAGAAGGGAGATCCTGGTGAAGGGTTGCGGTGTCATGGGAGAGAGGGGTCACGGGGTTGCAGAGAGGTCACGGGGTCACAGAGAGAGGTCAGGGGTTGCAGAGAGGGGTCACAGAGTATCAGAGGGGTCCCTGGGTAATGGGGGAGAGGTCACTGGGTCGTAGAGAGGGGTCACGGAGATAGATCACAGCAGGAGGTGACAGGTAACAGTTTTTAGATCATAGCGAGAGGTGACAAGGTAACAAAGATGTCACGGTCATGGGGTCACAGAGAGGGGTCGCAAATAGAAGTCACGGTGAGAGGTGACAGGATCATGACGAGGGGGTCATGGGAAGGGGTCACGAATGACCAAACCACCTGGAATGCACCGGATCGCGTCAGCTATGTCAGAGGCTAGTGGCAGGGTTGGGCGTGCTGTGGAGTAAGGGGTGAGGGATGATTGTGTGCACAGCGAGTCCGCACCTGGTGAGCGAGCACTTCATCCCAGGCGCCCGTGTCGCTGTCGGAGGCGTAGATGCTGCGCAGGACAGCGTCCTTCACCAGGATGGAGATGGCGCGGAGGATGAAAGAGAGGAACAGATTCAGGTGGATGTAATTCCTCGTGCAGTGCAGCCTCCTATGATCGCACACAACACACAAAGACAACGATAAACGTCCCCCCCCCTTGCAGCCTTCACAGAATGCCGGGCCAAGCGCTGTTGGGTTACTAACACAAGTCAGAGGCGCCTCATGTATTTTAGGCTGAGTCGACCTAGGGGAGGCCCAGTCTTCTTCCATCCCTTCGCGCTCAACCCTGCTGCTGTTGCTGTCCACCTTCCCCTCTTATCTCAATCCTGCCTCGCGACGCGGCATATCCTGAGGATCGTCCCAAATTGGGTCATCTACTTCCGCGTCTCCAAAGGAGGCCACTCCCTCCGTGGCAGAGGAGGACCCCAGTTTCAATGTGAGGACACGCGGCGAGGCACGCGGAGATGTGGGGAGACCCCAAGCGGGAGATGTGGGGAGGCGCAGGGAGATTTTGGGGAGATGCAACGGAGGCGTAGGGAGAAGTGGGGAGGTGCGCAGAGACCGGCGAGATGCCGGGAGATGCGGCGAAACGCACGGGAGGTTTAGGGAGACGGGAAATGTTGGGCGATGCGGGGAGATGCGGGGAAGCGCAGGGAGATGTGGGGAGACGCGGGGAGAAGTAGGGAGACGCGGGAGATGCGGGGAGCTACCGGAAGAGCAGGAGGATGGCAGAGGCGAGCAGCAGAGCGGCGAGGGAGAGCGAGTGGCCGACCGTGTAGACAGCGTGGATCAGGGACAGCAGCTCCCGGGGCTCCTCCTGCAGCTCAGCAAACAGTGCATAGCGTACACCTATAGCGTACACCCATAGCGTACACTTATAGTGTACACGCATAGCATACACCTATTGCATACACCCATAACATACACCCATAGCATACACCCATAGCGCACACCAATAGCGTACACTTATAATGTACACGCATAGCATACACCTATTGCATACACCCATAGCATACACCCATAGCATACACCCATAGCGTACACTTATAGTGTACACGCATAGCATACACCTATTGCGTACACCCATAGCATACACCCATAGCGCACACCCATAGCGTGCACTTATAGTGTACACCCATAGCGTACACCTATTGCGTACACCTATAGCATACACCACATAGCACACACACATATAGTATACAGCACATAGCACACACCTATAGTATACAGCACATAGTATGTACCCGATAATCACGATGATGAACCCAAAGCTCTGGCCTATTGATGAAGCAGAGACGGCGGTACCATTGGCATTCCCTACACCTCTACTGCAGTTGACGGACAGCGAACATGGCGTCCGTGCAGGACCACCGCCGGTCTGAAAACCACTCTGGCGCTCCGCAAGCTTCTCCTCAGCATGCCTGGCCAGGCGACGTTTCTTGCCAGGACCTTTCCCAGCACGCTGAGTAAAATGAGTACGGTGCCCCAGGCCAGGGCGTCCTTTCCATTCCTGCGGAAGCCGTCCCGTGGACCGGACGGTTGTGATGGTCTCACAAAGGTGGGCGGAATGCGCGCAAACGTCGCCCTCCGTCTGAAGCTCCGGATCGCCCCTTCGCACTTCCCCAACAGATGGCAACATCGGCCAACTGCTCACAAGCAGCGGCTATTTCCTCCAATATTTGAGGCACAGCAAGCACGAGCGGGGTCAACCTCACCTTGCCCTGTGATGTCGTTTGAGCTGAGGGGTTTCCCCCTCCGACCCCCCCCCCCCACCCACCCAAGACCTCGCAGAAACGCTCCGCATACCTGCGAACCTGTTCTTGGCGGTCGGAGATAGGATCACCATTCTTTCCCTTAAGGGTGGTAATGTGTGCGGTGCTGCGGGTTACCGTTTTAACGGAATTAAAGAGCGATCTGAGATTGCAGCTCCCATCTCCTCAGCACACACTCAGCGTGTGCGCGCGTGCCGGCCTTTACAGGTGCTACTCGCTACCAGCACTTGCCCCTGCGGTCTGCTAAGGCTTTACGGGGGATCTTTTGTCTATGTTACAGACAGAGTCTGATTGGTCGGTTCCGGTCCCTCTGGAGGGCCAGCGTGGTGACGTCGGCACACGTGACCGGTTGGCTGTGGAATGTTTTTTTTGTGGAACGGGGCTCTGGCAAAAAGCTGGAGCGCGGAGCAAAGCTGCACCTGTCAATCGACCGTAATTCTGGAAACGCCGGAATGCCACGGAATTCCACAACAACGTGAAAACGAAACTGTCCACGGATTGCGAAGCAAGGGAGAGAGAGAGATGGGGGTGGGGGGGGGGGAATTATGAAATCGGGGAGCGAGTGGGAGGACAGGGGGACACGGCTAATGGAGAGCGGGTGGATGGAGGAGCGGAGAGAGTTGAGTTTTTTTTACGTTTAACAGAATGCGATAGATATTCGTAGAGGTAAACCATTGAGATGGAGGGACATCTCGGGTTTGCAGCGGTATCCAGACGGTGTCCAGACAGCACCGCGAGCACGTCAAGATCGTACATCTGTAACCTACACATCCTTGTAGCTGCTGCTGTCTAAAACAATACAGCCACAAATCTGACTAATTTGTTAGTTGGTGGTCTAGGCAAGGCTGTGTGCGTTACACGCCCAGCGTGCAGGGCAGGACTGACCCAATCACACCGTCACCTCTGCCCGTCTAGAAATCACCTTCTGTTGTGTACCGCTACTCCAGAGACGACTCTCCCCAGCCCTTATTGTAATCCAGTCTGCTGCGGGCACTTCTCTGTCTGATGAGTTTAACATTTTTTATGGAAATAAAATGTGTTAGAAGGGAAGAGGCAGCTGAGTGGAATGCAAGGGTGGGAGGGGAGAGCTGAGAGGGGGTGGAGGGGGGGGGGTGTAGTTCGTGGGAGTGAGGGAGGCAGGTGACAGGAATATGGTCGTGAAAGAGAGTAATGGGGACACCTGTGGGGTTGACGGGAGAGGCGAGGGCGAGAGTCGCGGAGAATATGGGGAACGTGACGAGAACATGGAGCGAGGAAGGTGGAAGGTGACAGGAATAAGAGCGTCGGACACATCGGGTGATGGGAACACGTGGGGAGGGTCGGGGTGGGGGGAAGGACGAGGGGAGGGAGACGAGGAGGAGACGTGAGGGGGAAAGTTAGAGAGAGCGGGAGAGCCAAAAGGAGCGGTCACTGTTCTTTAAGATTCATGAGTTCCTGCGGTGTTTGGTGGAAAAAAAAGAGTAAAAACGAGCATAAGCCAGAGAGACACGGGACCAGTGCCCAGCGCCGCGTCGAATTTACAGCATCTTGATTATACAGAGCCTACGTGTGTCAGTGAAATTTACACTCGCGCATGCACGTACGCACACAAACAGCGTGTACCACGCACCACGTACACGCACAATGTGCCCAGAGCGTACACCACACGTCCATGTAGCGTACAGCGACGGCAGCCGGCGTCACCGCGGCACTTGTGCCAGGCTATGTCCACTTTGAGGCCAAGTAAAGTGTGGAGGGCTCGCGGGTGGGGCAGGCCCGGGTGGTGTTACGGGTTAACTGACTGACGTGGCTGACGAATGCCCAAAACAAAAACAAAGACAAAGATCCCTCGTGTAGCCACAACAAGCTGCTGGGTCAAGCGCTGTCCGTGAGCACCTATGAAGGTCGGCATGACACACGAGGGGGTGGGTGGTATTTGTCTCCCTAGCGGCGAAGTTACACACCACACTAGGTATTTATTTGAGGCTGAGTCAACCTAGGGGAGGCCCAGGACCGGTTCAGATAATCGTCACTGGTGTTGGCCGTGAGCGGGAATCGAACCTGGGTCGCCGGGTTCACAGCGCAGCGCGCTAACCGCTACACCACCGCTCTCCGCACAGACACACATGCATCATGTAGCAACACACCACCACATACACGAGGTTTACATCACACGACACATAGAATATGAATTCCTGCAATCACGAAAGATCGTTGCACTTGTTTACCTAGGAAAGCCTCACCGAGTATCATGACTCACTTTCAGCAGGGTCCTGCCAAGTTTTCACCGAAGGTGGCGATGATCGATTATGGAGCACCCCAGTGGAGTCATTTCTGGGTCATTTTTGCAAATGTGCATGGACCGTGACGTCGCAACACAATGGCACTACTCTTGCGCATGATGTCACGGGATCTTTCGCGTCCACTGTGAAGTGGACGGCACGCGGTACTTTGACGGTTTCACACTACCGCGGTATTAACCAGCGTGGCCGCTGGAGTCGAACCACGAACCTCCGCAACGAGCTGCGAACGTGCCACGCTGGGTCAAGTCAAGGATCCACATTGACCCCCTTGTACCGCACACACAGCACACACACAGCGCACACACAGCGCACACACAGCACACACACAGCACACACACAGCACACACACAGCACACACAGCGCACACACACAGCACACACACAGCACACACACAGCACACACACAGCGCACACCCAGTGCACACACAGTGCACACACAGCGCACACACAGCGCACACACAGCGCACACACAGCACACAGCACACACACAGCACACACACAGCACGCACACAGCACACACACAGCACACACACAGCACACACACAGCACAGCACACACACAGCGCACACCCAGCGCACACACAGCGCACACATAGCGCACACACAGCACACACATAGCACACACAGCGCACACACAGCACACACACAGCGCACACACAGCGCACACACAGTGCACACACAGCACACACACAGCACACACACAGCACACACAGCACACACACAGCACACACACAGCGCACACACAGCGCACACACAGCGCACACACAGTGCACACACAGCGCACACACAGTGCACACACAGCGCACACCCAGCGCACACACAGCACACACACAGCACACACAGCACACAGCGCACACACAGCGCACACACAGCGCACACACAGCGCACACACAGCGCACACACAGCACACACACAGCACACACACAGCACACACACAGCACACAGCACACACACAGCACACACACAGCACACGCACACACAGCGCACACACAGCGCACACCCAGCGCACACACAGCGCACACATAGCGCACACACAGCGCACACACAGCACACACAGCACACACACAGCGCACACACAGCGCACACACAGCGCACACACAGCGCACACACAGCGCACACACAGCACACACAGCACACACACAGCGCACACACAGCGCACACACAGCGCACACACAGCGCACACACAGCGCACACACAGCGCACACACAGCGCACACACAGCGCACACACAGCGCACACCCAGCGCACACACAGCGCACACACACCACGCACACAGTGCACACACAGCGCACACACAGTGCACACACAGCGCACACCCAGCGCACACACAGCGCACACACAGCACACACAGCACACACACAGCACACACACAGCGCACACACAGTGCACACACAGCGCACACACAGTGCACACACAGCACACACACAGCACACAAATAGCGCACACACAGCGCACACACAGCGCACACACAGTGCACACACAGCGCACACACAGCACACACACAGCACACACAGCGCACACACAGCGCACACACAGCACACACACATCACACACACAACACACACACAGCACGCACACAGCACACACCACTCTGCGCACTCCGCGTGCCCCGCACACACAGCACACACATAGCGCACACACAGCACACACACAGCACACACACAGCACACACAGCACACACAGCGCACACACAGCGCACACACAGCACACACACAGCACACACAGCGCACACACAGCACACACCCAGCACACACACAGCACACACCCAGGACACACACAGCACACACACAGCACACACACAGCACACACAGCGCACACACAGCACACACACAGCACACACACAACACACACACAGCACGCACACAGCACACACCACTCTGCACACTCCGCGTGCCCCGCACACACAGCACACACACAGCGCACACACAGCACACAGCGCACACACAGCGCACACACAGCGCACACACAGCACACACACAGCACACACACAGCGCACACACAGCGCACACACAGCGCACACACAGCACACACACACACACGCCCCACACATACCACAAAGACAAAAATCCCCCCATAGCCTCCACGGCTTGTTGGGGCAAGTGTTGTGTTAGCGACGACCTTTGAAGGCCGGCACTGCACACGAGGAGGGGATGTGACCAGCCCCAAAGCTGCGGAGTGGGATATGGAAGACAGTGGGAAGAGGCCTGTCGCTTTCACTCAGATAATTCACTGTGTAACACATTTTTGTTAAATTCCTAGGTAGTAAGTGTTATTTCCTAATTGCTTATGCCTCAAAAGTACAGAACATGGCTATTATTCCCCACAAACTTTGCTTTTTTGACCAGGACAGTGATATTTTGAAATGTACCTATTTTCAATGAGAAAACGCGGTGTGCATTTGTGTAATTCCTTCACGTAAAGTCCTGGTCACAAAAGCAAAGTTTGTGGGGAATAATAGCCACTTTCTATACTTTTGAGGCATAAGCAATTAGAAAATAACACTTACTACCCAGGAACAAAAATCGTGTCACATTGTGATATAATTGGAGCATTTCCTCCATCAGCCAGGTTCTCTGGGGAGGTCTGGACCGCGTACCCAATGCAGCCACAGCAGCTGCATGAGCCACAGTCTTAAACCTCGACCATTTCCTTTTGGCATCAGAAAGGAGGAGAAGGGGGGAGTTATGATGCCGACCCCAGCTGCAAGCAATAATCAAATTCTCGCTTGCAACTTGTATCAGCTATCCGATACCGGACTATTGTGGGTGTGAATGGGGGATCCTAAGGTGGACGCCCACCACTGCGGTGGAAGAATGGCAGTCGTATTTTATATAAATGACAAGCCGACGGTCAACTTTCAAGATCAGGTCCACAAGTAGGTCCTGACGTATGTATGTACATATGTTGAATTTATTTCGCGCCGTACGTAGCCAACCGTGCTAATCGGAGGTGCGGGGAAGGTCAACAAGGACATGGGCCCGCAATGCTACGTTCTGTCACTACATAGTCCAGCAGATGATCTTGCCGGGACCCGGCGTGCATCGATTTGTTGTGGATGTGCCGATGCCATCACAGTGTGCCATTACAAGCCCACGGGCTGCACGGAAGTCTTGTAGCCTCCTGCCCCCCTTCAATTTTAAGATGTTTTTTGTTCATGTTTTTGTTTTTTGTTTGTTGCGGTTGCACCCGATTCAAGAGCCGAATGGCTCACAGGGCTATACCTAATAAATGAACTTGTACTTGAACTTGAATGCTTGCATCATGACCCACTCGGGGGCATTCAAGTCACCCGGTGAGATGACTCGATCTCGACGGGCCACTTTAGCCAGCACCTGGGGCAGACGGCACCCGCCTCTCCCGTTACGCTCCACTGATGTTCAACTTCGACGGCGGTGGTATGGGAGCCACCACTACCGCCGCCGCCACCGTTCCGCGCCTCCTGACGCAACACACGTGCACCGCACACACCCCGCACGTGGCGCACGCTCTGCCGCGGTGGCGGTGCTGGTGGTGAGTACCTGGTTGGTGCGGTCCTCACACTCGCTCACGTTCCTCCACGTCTCGTTGGATCCGTCCATGCGGAGCCATGTCCCATCAGCTGAGCAGAAGCGGTACGCCCGGCCGAACCACACTGTGGGACACACAGACACCGCACTTTTTTTCTTCTTGGTTCTTTCGGTAAAGTCACGTAGAAGGGAAGTAATAAAATAATAAAAATAAAACATAATAAAACAATTCTCACGACGTTTCGGCTACAACGCAAGCAGCCGTCTTCAGGTGAAGAATGAGACAATGCCAAGCTAGGAGCTTATATATAAGCTGCGTTGGAGGTGGAGGAAAGAGCGCCTTAACAAAAGAATGTGCATGTGAAGAGGAATTTAGCATATTCATGGAAAATGCGTAGGAGGTGGGTGGGGGGGTTTCAAAGTCATATTATGCCCATGCATTATGCAGGATCAACAGCACCAAGGGGGGGGTTCAGGGATTAGCAGTAACAAAGGAAAGGAATGTTAATGATATGTAGCTGCAGTTACTCAACCACCACGTAGAAAACTAAAGTATAAACTACATAAAAAACTAAAGTATAAATAGCATAGCACCATCAGTATACTTACTATACTCTACACTAAGCTGAGTTACTAACAGCAAGTAATACATTACAATTCTACGTCGTAAAAATTATATAATATGCTTCCATCTAAACTTTATTCTATTGCATCAACGAGCATATACCGTACTATATACTGCCAACATTAAATTATATACTGTATTGCTGTAAACCAACCTATATCTTATACATTTAATATAACACTATGTATTATTCTACCCACCCTAATGTGTGTCGAAATGGTTTATTACGTCCTTCCAATGATTGCTAAGCCAGAATCCATCTTCTCGGTTAAAATTGTCTCTGTGTTTGTATATGTGGATCGCCTCATGAACGAATCTCTCATGATAGCCAGATGGCTTGCAGAGAACCTCTGTCTTGGAGAAGTCAATGTCATGTGAGCCCACTGAATTGTAACAGTGATCTGCCACGGCTGAGGTGTTTGTCCTACCGTGTTTCAGGTCTGCCTTATGTTCACGGATGCGGTCCGAGACATGTCGTTTGGTTTCTCCAATGTAACTGCTACCACAGAGGCAACTTAGTTTGTAGACGCCAGGGTACTGTATGTCTGGAACCACATCTTTTACAGACGGGACCAGATCACGGATTTTATGTACTGTGTTGAATCGGACCTGGATCTTGTGTTTAATCAGGATTTTGGAGATCTTTTTTGTGACCCCAGCAATGTAGGGTAAGGTGATGGTCTTGAAAGGCTCCTCAACAGGATCCTTCTTGATGGTTGGAGTGATGGCTTTGCGGATTGTGTAGTCGGAGTAACCATTAGCCTTAAGAGCTTGGCGTACGTGTTTGAGTTCACTGGAAATGTGTTCATGGTCGGAGATGCATTGGGCTCTATGATATAGAGTCTTGATGAGGGAATTCTTCTGGGATGGATGGTGGTGGGAATCCGGTTTTAGATAAGCATCCGTGTGGGTGGCTTTCCTGTAGACAGAGTGGCTCATTGAACCATCAGGTCTCCTTTTGATTAGGACATCCAAAAAGGGTAGCTTGCCATCATTTTCGACTTCCATGGTGAATCTGATGGCAATTCCATACACCCAGCCATCAGATTCACCATGGAAGTCGAAAATGATGGCAAGCTACCCTTTTTGGATGTCCTAATCAAAAGGAGACCTGATGGTTCAATGAGCCACTCTGTCTACAGGAAAGCCACCCACACGGATGCTTATCTAAAACCGGATTCCCACCACCATCCATCCCAGAAGAATTCCCTCATCAAGACTCTATATCATAGAGCCCAATGCATCTCCGACCATGAACACATTTCCAGTGAACTCAAACACGTACGCCAAGCTCTTAAGGCTAATGGTTACTCCGACTACACAATCCGCAAAGCCATCACTCCAACCATCAAGAAGGATCCTGTTGAGGAGCCTTTCAAGACCATCACCTTACCCTACATTGCTGGGGTCACAAAAAAGATCTCCAAAATCCTGATTAAACACAAGATCCAGGTCCGATTCAACACAGTACATAAAATCCGTGATCTGGTCCCGTCTGTAAAAGATGTGGTTCCAGACATACAGTACCCTGGCGTCTACAAACTAAGTTTCCTCTGTGGTAGCAGTTACATTGGAGAAACCAAACGACATGTCTCGGACCGCATCCGTGAACATAAGGCAGACCTGAAACACGGTAGGACAAACACCTCAGCCGTGGCAGATCACTGTTACAATTCAGTGGGCTCACATGACATTGACTTCTCCAAGACAGAGGTTCTCTGCAAGCGATCTGGCTATCATGAGAGATTCGTTCATGAGGCGATCCACATATACAAACACAGAGACAATTTTAACCGAGAAGATGGATTCTGGCTTAGCAATCATTGGAAGGACGTAATAAACCATTTCGACACACATTAGGGTGGGTAGAATAATACATAGTGTTATATTAAATGTATAAGATATAGGTTGGTTTACAGCAATACAGTATATAATTTAATGTTGGCAGTATATAGTACGGTATATGCTCGTTGATGCAATAGAATAAAGTTTAGATGGAAGCATATTATATAATTTTTACGACGTAGAATTGTAATGTATTACTTGCTGTTAGTAACTCAGCTTAGTGTAGAGTATAGTAAGTATACTGATGGTGCTATGCTATTTATACTTTAGTTTTTTATGTAGTTTATACTTTAGTTTTCTACGTGGTGGTTGAGTAACTGCAGCTACATATCATTAACATTCCTTTCCTTTGTTACTGCTAATCCCTGAACCCCCCCCTTGGTGCTGTTGATCCTGCATAATGCATGGGCATAATATGACTTTGAAACCCCCCCGCCCACCTCCTACGCATTTTCCATGAATATGCTAAATTCCTCTTCACATGCACATTCTTTTGTTAAGGCGCTCTTTCCTCCACCTCCAACGCAGCTTATATATAAGCTCCTAGCTTGGCATTGTCTCATTCTTCACCTGAAGACGGCTGCTTGCGTTGTAGCCGAAACGTCGTGAGAATTGTTTTATTATGTTTTATTTTTATTATTTTATTACTTCCCTTCTACGTGACTTTACCGAAAGAACCAAGAAGATGAATCCCTGCAGTCACGAAAGCTTTAAATCGAAAAGACACCGCACTGTGAGACACACAGACACCGCACTGAGACACACAGACACTGCACTGTGAGACACACAGACACGGCACCGAGAGACACCACACCATGAGACACACAGACACCGCACCGTGAGACACACAGACACCGCACCGAGAGACACCGCACCATGAGACACACAGACACCGCACTGAGACACACAGACACCGCACTGTGAGACACACAGACACCGCACTGTGAGACACACAAACACCGCACTGAGACACACAGACACCGCACTGAGACACACAGACACCGCACCATGAGACACACAGACACCGCACCGTGAGACACACAGACACCGCACTGTGAGACACACAGACACCGCACTGAGACACACAGACACCGCACCATGAGACACACAGACACCGCAACGTGAGACACACAGACACCGCACTGTGAGACACACAGACACCGCACTGAGACACACAGACACCGCACTGAGACACACAGACACCACACCATGAGATACACAGACACCGCACTGTGAGACACACAGACACCGCACTGAGACACACAGACACCGCACTGAGACACACAGACACCGCACCATGAGACACACAGACACCGCACCATGAGACACACAGACACCGCACCGTGAGACACACAGACACCGCACTGAGACACACAGACACCGCACTGTGAGACACACAGACACCGCACTGAGACACACAGACACCACACTGAGACACACAGACACCGCACTGTGAGACACACAGACACCGCACTGAGACACACAGACACCGCACTGAGACACACAGACACCGCACTGAGACACACAGACACCACACTGTGAGACACACAGACACCACACTGAGACACACAGACACCGCACCGTGAGACACACAGACACCACACTGAGACACACAGACACCGCACTGAGAGACACACAGGCACCGCACTGAGACACACAGACACCGCACTGTGAGACACACAGACACCGCACTGAAACACACATACACCACACTGAGACACACAGACACCGCACTGTGAGACACACAGACACTGCACTGAGACACACAAACACCACACTGAGACACACAGACACCACACTCAGACACACAGACACCGCACTGTGAGACACATAAACACCACACTGAGACACACAGACACCACACTCAGACACACAGACACCGCACTGAGAGACACACAGACACCGCACCGTGAGACACACAGACACCGCACTGAAACACACAGACACCGCACTGAGACACACAGACACCGCACTGTGAGACACACAGACACCGCACTGTGAGACACACAGACACCGCACTGTGAGACACACAGACACCGCACTGAGACACACAGACACCGCACTGAGACACACAGACACCGCACTGTGAGACACACAGACACCGCACTGAGACACACAGACACCACACTGTGAGACACACAGACACCGCACTGTGAGACACACAGACACCGCACTGAGACACACAGACACCGCACTGAGACACACAGACACCGCACTGAGACACACAGACACCGCACCATGAGACACACAGACACCGCACCGTGAGACACACAGACACCGCACTGAGACACACAGACACCGCACTGTGAGACACACAGACACCGCACTGAGACACACAGACACCACACTGAGACACACAGACACCGCACTGTGAGACACACAGACACCGCACTGAGACACACAGACACCGCACTGAGACACACAGACACCGCACTGAGACACACAGACACCACACTGTGAGACACACAGACACCACACTGAGACACACAGACACCGCACCGTGAGACACACAGACACCACACTGAGACACACAGACACCGCACTGAGAGACACACAGGCACCGCACTGAGACACACAGACACCGCACTGTGAGACACACAGACACCGCACTGAAACACACATACACCACACTGAGACACACAGACACCGCACTGT